CTTTATTTTTCTTCCCTCTCGCCCCTCCACCTTATTTTCTTTCCCTCCCCCCCCCCCCTTGGACTCACAAATTCATAGACTAGATCTATAACCATTTTTCCTCTCATTTTTCATGTTATTGGGAAAAAAGAGAAAGAAACATGGTAATATTTTCCAGCTGTCACAGACTAGAAGGTTTGCACATGGCTTATTGCAGCCTGACCCTGAACCTAGCCAAACTCTACATGAAGACAGTGCTTCAATGCATATAAACCAATGTCATTGTATCAAGCCATATGACAATCATTTATATTTTTTGTACATATCCTATGATTTGAACTTGATTGAATGTATTGTTTGTGTGCCTACAGATTCAGTCTGCCGTGTTCTGTCATCACAAGTTCACAACAAAGATACATTTTTTTTGTCAATTATTTTGTGACAAAAGAAGCAGATATGTGAGAGCTTTTGACCTCGTAAGACCCCTTTGTGACCTCCCAACATACCAGAATTCCCCAAACATACTAAGAACATTAACTTATTTTCTGAATTATGTTTTTCTTTTACATGTTTATGATCTCTGGGAGGCCTACATGGATTCAATATGAAATCACTTGCTCTACAATGTACATAAATGTCAATATAAAATAAGGATGAGAGTGATGATGATATTATTTATATTGATGGTGATTGATTATATGCTGATAACGATAAAAAAAAATACCATATGTTTATGAAATGACAGTGTAAAACATATGGGAACAGAGAACAGATCTTCAAAAATTAAGTTTAAAAAGTAATCCAATTTCAAAGGAATGTCACAATTTTATGCAGAAATCTACAAAAAGCTTGACTTTAGAAGAAAAGAAGTATGATAACAATGTTAATGATAATAAAACATGTAAATGACAGATCAATAGTTACTGTCAGAGACTCGTTTTTGTATTTAGTTTGTTTCTTTAATGCCTATGTATGTTTGCAGTTCATTTATGTATGCTTTTATTAATATTTATGTGTTGACTATTACATACAGTAAGTAGGCCCAACATTGTTTAATCTATGACAATCATCTTTCCTTCCTGCGCTAATATCAATGAACTCAGGATTACAATAAATATTTTCCACCCTCCATCAATCTCAAAACCACAATACCCCTAAAGCTATTTTTTTGAAAGCATACAAACAAATTCCAACCTTACAGATCATACAAAATCACTGAATCAAATCAGTTCATAGAATATAGTACAGAGTGTTATATTATTCAGGAAATACCTCTAAAACCACAATTCACACAAATATCTACACAAACACCTACAAGCCCTATAAATATTATTACAAATTCAGGGATGGCTAAAAGTTTCCTGTACATGTACATGTACGTAGTTGGAAAAGAAGGTGAATATCAAATGTGCATGAAGTTACATTGTTTCATCCTTAGTGAAGGCCTATACATGTAGATGTAGATGCACAGTGTTTCAAATGAAAATGTGTTGTGCCATGGAATATTCTGAATTGTAGTTGTACAATTCCCTATCATACATGTAGATTGATGTTTATCTCTGTACAAATAATAATTATACAACTACAGGTATTCAGTTGAGCAATGTGATTAAACAGTACATTTCATGATGATCTTTTCTCTCGCATAAACTTAAAAATTATATCTGTAATCTACGAATTATATTATTATAACTTTCAGAGAACATGCAGGTGAGGATTATTAATCCGCTTGTGCAAAACAAGATCATTCGGTTTCTATTTCCAAATACGTGAATTAGATGGATACACCATGATCCAAATGAGTCAAATACTGATCTTCAAAGCCATTATCAAATGAAGGAAACAAAGAGGATGCAGGGATTATCTGACTTCTCATCCACGCAATCCTACCACAGATCAATGCGGTTTGCCTACATTGTATCCTGTTTCTATTTTACTTTCATTGATTAAGTTCCTTTCATTGATAATCACACTAATGCTTTCACACCAAAGCCTTGATCGGTCTAATTCTACTTCATAGGATAAACATATTTAGGCTTACAGTAAACATTCCTATCCTGTTTCTATTCATGCTCATTATCACACAAAAAGCTTCCTTCTGTATAAAATGACTACATACTTGTACATGTATAATGCAGGGTCATGTCTTATAAAGAATTGTGATTGATCGACATCGATTGTCCTCCAAAAGGCCATTTTCGTAACGTAATCAAGTTTAATGCACAAATTTTTGATGGGTGCCTTGTTACAAATTATTTTATTCATCTGTAACTGTTCTTCTGTTATGAATAATTGTATTTCAATAGTCAGAATGCGAATTGCAAACATTCTGTGTTGTTACATACATACAGTACATGTAGGTAGGGCAAGCCGTAATGTGTGTCCTACAGTACCTAGCAGCAATTAATGTATGCAATTCACATTCTGACAATTGAGATACAATTATTCATAACAGAATAACAGATGAATGAAATAATTAATAAATTGACACAAAATATTTATGCATTAAATCTGATTACATAACTATCAAAAATGGCCTATTGAATCACAACATTTTAATTAAGTACAGAGTTGCGATTGATATCAAGTTGTGATCAATTTGAATCAATCATAACTCCTTATAAGACATATGTTGGCCAAAGAATCATGTATCAATAAAAAGTTATTAACACTACGGTCTTAAACAAGAAGGGAGACCCACTTTATACACAAAAGAAATCAACAGAGAAATTACTACTGCAGCTTTAGCCTACCAGTATACAGTAATATATACCACACAGTCCCCCATCTTTGCAAGGAGTTGAAACACAACAAAATCAAATAAGCGATTGGAGTGAAGCTCAAGAGCGGAGTCAGATTGAATTTCTAGTCTCTCAAAGGTTCAGCCTACCTGACACTGAGACATTATGCAAGAAGTTGAGTATTGCACCTCTGCTTCCATGCAGATAGATGGGGGCATTCCCACAAGAGGAAATTTACACATAATTCAACTAATATTTGACCAAAAACGTATTAGAATCATTAAAAAAGTAAATGGTGCTCTCACATTGCGGATATATAAATGGATATCAAAGGACAGTACACAAACAATAAGAATATATGATATAAAGTAATGTTTTTATAAAGAAACTAGTTTTAATGACATATATGTTTATTTTCAGTTTAAATGTCAGGTAATCCTCAAGCATGGAAATTAACACTGGGCAGTCATGTCAGCACTAATTTGATACAATATTCAATCAGGCATTGGACCCCGATACTATAGGCCAGTGGAGGTTTCAACAAACCAGTTTGCTACATAATACTCCGCTACAAAATGTTGAGATCAGAAAAGAAACCTAGTTACTGTATAGTTTCTTAGTATAACTATGCATACTGTATATGGATAAAATTGTTAGTGTGAATGGGGAGTAGGGCATTATGCAAGAAGTAGAGTACTGCACCTTTGCTTACAGGTCACAGAGAGCCTAGATGAGTCAGAGACTCAGAGTGCTATATCAGGAGTAGTTGGAAACAGTTGGATGATCGCATAGGTGTGAGAAGAGTGATTCAAAGTAGAATCATATTCCCTCTGGATATGCACCAGAAATACCAATTTCATGACTTTTTTCATAAAGGGTACTATTTTATATTTAGATCTATATTTCACATCGTCGTCATTGACGATAGAATCAATAGAGGACAGTATGGCTTGAACAACTCTTGACTATTAGAAATTTGAGGTGATATAAATATAAAATCATGTATCCTGTAACTGGAAAGATGTTTGGTATTTGTCCTCATTGCGTGGAGCTTAGCACCAAGATCAATGCTATAAAATCTGGCCTAGTTATGGTAAACCCTCCAATCCATCAGCAAAACATGCTCTTTCCCTTATGAAGCTAATCAACTAGTTCATTAATTTGATTCAATTATCTGATTTCGGACTGGAAAGCATGTTTTGGAGAGGCCTCCGAGTTAATGATCAGCACGCAAATTCTCACAACTGTTGATCAAATATATCAACACCACAGTTCGACCCTTCCCCCCTTCTCTGTTTGTTGTCCCTTATCTGACCAAACAGCTTGAATCAATTGATTACATCAAATCAAATGATGGTTAACTTGTCCAGCCGCAGAGTGATATCTCTATTTTATCTGCAGAACAGGGATGCCAAGTGAACTATTTGATTTGTTGTTATGTTTGTGGACAAAACAGATAAGTGGAGAAAAACAGATAACTTCAGTCCCTGTATTTTCGATACCAGGTCCATTTACACATCCCAAACACCATTTGGAAAAAATTGTCTATTTTTTTGTCTATCATTTTAATACATGTACACTACTGAAAAAACCCATAAAAAAGTGTTAGCGTTTGCTCATTCTGATTTTTGGGTGAGTAGTTCGAGTGCACAACTTGTCAATGCCCTGCATGTGTTAACACTGAAGCAAGGAGAGTCACGTGAGCAAAAATTGTTATCTTACTGAAGTTTGCTTTTACACTGCAAAAATCGGTGAAACTTTGGGATTTTTATTTTGTTTGTTATTTGCTGGCAACTTTACCGGCAAAAAATTGGAATGTGAGAAAAATCTGTAATATTTGGCTGCAATGCAAATGCAGTTCATGTAATGTACATGTTAAATGCTGAAAGGACAACACAGATTCTTATCACAGCTATCATGGATAACACTGTCCGAGCCATTTCGATACAGTCTGCTGAACTGATCAGATAGGCCTACAGGTATTGTTCATTTCCCCATACTTAAATCCGAATTAGTGTAGTCCCACATGTAGAGATCAACGACCTATTTCTTGTTTCCTCTAGTTCACCGAACCAATAGATCAACGCCAGCATCCCTACATGACCGACTGTTAAAACTCGGGCTTGATAAACAGTCAGAGGGGTTCAAAAATCAACCTAACATAATCTGAACGTGATTTCTATTGGATGTTCATGTACCATAGGGTACCGAAATAGACGAGTTGATTTTTCAAAAGAATTTGCGATCATTTTTTTTAAAGATAATGAACAATTTACTTACCTTGACTGTTTTCTTGATACGTTGTGATGGTCCAGGGAAATCCCCTGAGTAGATATCTGTGAGGAATAGCGAGTTGATCAGTGTGCTTTTACCAAGACCAGATTCACCTGAAAGTAGAGTAAAACAAAAAAGAAAATGTTAAATAACAGAATTTGTTACTATTCTTGATGCATAGAAAAATGGTTAAAGTGACCCCAAATGCATTGAAACATGGTACAAAATACAAATACATGTACATAAATGCAAACAATTTACATGTTCTTGAATTTATTTGGGATTACATTTTTATAAATCAGCTTATATCAAATAAATCTGTTTTTTGTAAGTAGTGCACATGCGCAACTTATCGCTGCTCTACATGCGATCGCATGGAAGCTAGGAGAGTCACATTACCAAAAGCTGGGATTGTACCAAAGTTTCGAGACTGGGCATCTAATCTACGAAAATCTGTGAAAATTCAGCAAGCTTTAAAAAAGCCGACACTCCTGAGGTTTTCCTCGTGTTTGCTGTTAGTTTTGCAACTACCCGATGAAACACCTGAATGCGAGAAAAATCAATGATTTTTGCTTGCAGTGTAAAATGAAGCTATAAAGAGTAGTAGCAAACAAGCATGACCTTCACCTGGTGACATGCAGACATGTCCTCCATGTTATCTTTCACCACACATTAATGTCAACAATAATAAACAAAGGAATGTTTATCTGCCAAGTGACATTAGCTCCAGGAAAGCTTCCCTTCAGTTTCCCTGTTGTTTTCATTCAGGCTCTGAACTATTTTTCCAGATCCTAGATAAAACCATGGACCTTGTGTTACACTGTTAGGTCCAGGTAAAATGAAGTCTTATTGACAAATGATAAGTGCTAACTGCTACAATTGCAGTACAACATTTTGCAGTAAATGATACCCTGCCAGGATGATAATCCCAGTAGCCAATTTTGATTTCTTGGCACGTGCTACAAGATTAGCGAGCAGAGGTGCATGGTGAAAACTTCTCACCTGTGAAAGGTGTTCAAGAACATTCAGAATATCTTGAAATACTTGACATACATGTATGTGTTACATTTGCGCAGTCCACTTTCTAATAAAATGTTTCTAGTACAGTCAAACCTGCTTTTTATAGTGACCACCTGTCTTCAAAGACTACAATTTTGTTTCACTTGAAAACGGTTTCTCAATGAAACATGGTCTACTGTATAGGCATCTGTACATTAATACCAACTATCTATAAAGGCCACTTTTCTTGTCTCCCTTGTGTAGTCTTTATAGACAGGTTTCATTGTAATATAATCTGTTCATGTGGCTTGAGCCAGCCACAATCACAACCTTGAGGTTCCTTCCTGTCAGTTTTCAATCAACCTTAGCCTCAAAAGGAAACACTCCTCTTGAGTGCTGCGGAAGATGGCCATTTCACACAGGCTATTCAATACATACTGTACATATGTATATTCTGTTCCATTCCATGTTATGAGAAAATTCTATACATGTACATGTATGTGTAATCTTGGTGTAATCAATCACACAATTGTTTTGTAAGGATATTAATGTGCAGACTTTTATATTTTCAGACTACTAAATTACATCAAAAGCTATATGAGAACCATACAACTATACATTTTTGTTTGAGTCTGAACATCTTATAACAAAATGTTGTGTTATGAATGGATTTTTCAGCATCAGTCTTACTCTCTGCATGACCAAGCTCCCGACGAAAATGTCAAAATTTGGGGGTCGAGATTTGGATTTGGGGTTCCCATACATGACCATGTACGTCCCAGGCATTTGATGGTGTCAAGCCCTGGCTTAAGGCTTAAGCCCGATGAGAGGGGTTAAGAAATACCATCAAAACATCTATTGTCCATTCTACCGGTTTAAATTAGAGCCTTCAAACTCTTTATTACTCTTCACGCTTTGCACTTTCTCAGACTCACAGTCTGATGAAAGCGTTCATTGCATTCTCTATGTACAGGTTTACAGCCTAGTGTGAATGCTCTCTATCTGTTCACTCTTTTTACACTTTCACAGGCTTTCATTTCAGCTCGGTGCACCTGACATTGCCCATGAGTCATTCCTGAACCCTAGCCCACCCCTGGGCACTCTCACCTTAACCCCCTGACCCCCGGAGCAAGGGTACATGAGGTTCCTTTCAGAGCCAACATAGGTGCTGCACTGATCCCCGTGAACCTTCCTGAAGTGCAGGATTTGGGCCAATGTGTACACAGACTACTTTGAGATCGGGTTTGAGTGACAAAAGGGTATTCAAAGCTTGTCCGATATAAACTGCCCTATTAAATACAGTACATGTACCAGTAGGCCTAATATATACATGTACATGTACATACACATACAGATAGGAGATACACACTCGCACCAAGTTTGAAGTTCATACCTCAAGTGTTTCCTGACATATCGCTATAGTGAGGCTAAAACCTGAATTTTCATAGATTGACCTCTATAACCTTTGACCCCAAAATCAAATCAAATCATTTTTTTATTGTGATACATATTATCACCAGGTTTGAATACAAAATATAAAGAGAAAAAGGGGGGGGGGCTAATAAAATAACCAGTTAGAAACCTATTATGTGAAGCATTTTAACCTCTTCAATGTGGCTTCCTACATTTAAATATATCTCCAATTTGGGAATGATGGGAAAATTTATAATAGTTAGATTGCTATCCATTTCCTTCCTTGATTACAGCGATACTAGATAATTATGAACATGTACGCATTGTGTACACAATAACCTTGTACAGTGCAAGTGGAGTTTACTTTCAGGTTTCAATTAGGGAGTAGAATAAGACAATTAAAATCTATATTATTCATATGCAGCATTGCAGTGTGTATTGATAAACACGCCTCATACTTGTCAATTTATGAAGAAGAAAAAGTCTGCAACACGCTGCAATAAACAAATATCATACTACAAAATTGCAGATGGACAGTAAACTTTTAAACTACTGACAAATTGCTAAATACAATAGTTATAAGGCCTAATTTTAATAGCTTACATTTGAAAATTATGGCCAATGACAATGTCGCATAAACATCAGATTTTTGTTTGTATCGTTTCTAAAATCAGCTTGCCTGTTTATTATGACAACTAAAACTGCATGTACGTGTTCATAAATGGAAAGGAAATTATTGTACTATTCCTGAATCTATCTATTATTATCTCAACTTCCCACTCCCTCTCTCTCTCTCTCTTTCTCTCTCTGATTACTATACTCCCTATTTTCCCTCTCTCTTTCTCTCCCTCCCATCTCTGTGTGACTATTGTGTATTTCAATTCCTCCCCTTTCCTTATTGAAATATACAATAGTTGTAAATCCTGAAGGGATTTTTCGCATTGTTGACTTTGGTGATATGCATACCAATCATTGTGTAGATTTCTCAATGGCTATTTGTGGGGGAATAAAAGAATTGAAGAGAAAAGGGGTAGGATTTTCAGAGTGGAGCCTCAAACCCCATGAGTTGTCAATAATCACCTCTGTGCCAATTTCCTAAAGTACGCCAAATTCAATTGTCCGAAGCCTTCTTTTACCAATTGGTGCAAAACCTTGCACTCTTACTGAAAAATTGTGTTGAGATGTAAAACTTTGAAAGCATCGTTTCATGCCATGTAATTATTGAATTGATGAAGTCTCATCACGTAATTGATTTGGGGCAAACTTACATTACCTTTACATGTACACGTAGTATGTAGGTCTGCTATTAAACAGTAAGACTATAAACATTAATATTTCAAAAAGGAGAAGAGAAAACATTTGCAGGAACCAATTCACAATAACCCCATGAATAGCTGAACATCAGTAGAGACAGTGTATTCTACAACTCTGAACATGAATTGCCATTGAAATGTCAAGTAAGAAGATCATACAGTAAAAGTATAACTACATGTACTGTATGTACTTAGAGGCTTACAGTATAGCTTCTATACATGCATGATTTTACTTCCTGATATGCTTGTACACATCATACTTGACAAACACCATTATGAAGACAACCTCCACATCAAAACAAACTGACACAGTCTGACAGGTCAAAGAACACTCTTATTGTAGCATTAATTAGTTCATTTTTTCAAAGCAGACATGTCTCTATAAACTGTAGTAGTAAAAATACTGGGAGTATATTGCTTCGTCGCATGTGAACTTTCCTGAATAAGTCAGATGTACATGTGTGCAATGTTTACTCTATGAAAACAGATTATCTCTAGTTTCTTGTGTCATTTCTAGAATATAAAAACATGCCTAATAAAGAAAGAGACAAAGACCAAGAGGAAAACTGCTGATGACATTAATTAAAACTCTGGTTCAAGACCGATACAAGACATACAAAAAACAGAGTGTGAGACAAGTTTCACTCTATCAACACCAAACACATACATGTACTTTTACATGTACCGTAAGTAATGACATTTAGTTTGTACTTACTGTACAAATGCATAAATCTGCGGAAAAGAAGGTCAAATTTATACCAAAAAAGTTTTTGTCTACATGGAGGTATCAAAATTTTGCTGATACCTGATAGCAGGCACAGTCGATCTTTGGGTGCTAACAATTTTCAAGAAATAAAATGCTTTATTCGGATATCGGGTCACTGAATAAACACATCTCTTAAACTTTCCAACGGGAAGTGAAGCGCAGATGTCAAAACAGCTTCAACACTGGTTGAACAGCTCTGATAAATTATCTTTCGACACACTCGTTGAGTCTCCTTTTATACTTTCAATCATGAAGGGTGTGAAAGGCAAATTACCTTTGACACATCGTCAGGGTGTTTGGTTCCATTGCATACCGCACAGGCAACAGCCCATGGGTAAGGGGCATCAAAATGGTTAATTTCAAGGTGCTATTAAAGTATATCAAAGTATATGAAAACAAAATTACATACGGTGTACAAGTAATATGCACAGTACTACATGTCCAGTTTTATAAATCAATAAATTCTAGGTATTTTGGAGCAATTTACTTTATCTTTCTTGTAATCCCAACATAATAAGAATTACATGTACATTATTTTTTCACTTCCTAATAAGCATATAAGAAATATAATACAAGGTAAAGCCTCAAAATACAATTAACATTTATTGTCCTACTTTTGTAA